GCTTAACATATATATCATTTTCCTCTGCCAGACATCAAAGATACACTGAATAACTTTTTTCTACAATTCGAATAACCAAATTCATATAAAAATAAAGCAGTTTTGATCATTTTCGTGTTTTGAAAAATTGACACTGTAGAAAGAGAGGTTTGATAAATATCTACTTGATCACTTACCTATCTTAGGAGTGCAGCCGGCTTTGACCCCGTATCCAAATGGGTGGGGCTCTCGTATCAGCCAACCCTCTGCATACGCGTTGCTCATGAAATGTCTGGCATGTAGTACGTGGCTTTGGTATGACTGACTTTGTTGTATTTGATAGACAGTTCGGCAACACCACCATTTATTAAAGTCGTTTACTTTATTTTGATAATCGGTTGTTTGGTTGCGCATCTGAAGTTCATAAAAAAAATTCTTAAAAAAAAAAGTCAATGATCTAATTCGTCATCATATTAGCAGTTTATTTTCTGAAATGCACTTTATAATACATATCTACCACTTCAGAAAGCGATGTCAATCGATACTGCAGTAAAGTTGTGACAGTTTGACTAGTTTAAACAAAAAATTGAATATTTAGTATTCCAATTACCTCTGTTTGTCTTCCAACTCTTTCCATTCTTCTAGTCATCGGTTTAAGAACTTGAAAAAAAAATTTCCCCTATTTATTTTGATGGTTTTGAGTCGACTGATAATATTGGTTAATGATTTACGTTTATTGGAGAGTAAAAAGCCTCAGAAGTCGCAGTGATGGTTGATATGATATCTGATGAAATTCCCACTCACTTGACAAATTTCGCTGTAGATGTTTCTTGATAACGCGGTTTGTCACTGCTGGCATTGGTATAAATGAAATAATAATGGTGGGTTTGAGAAAGAAATTTTGGGTTGCAGAATGAGGTTACTGTCGTCTTTGACTTTTATGTTTAAATGTTTGCGAAAGTGAACTAAGTTTTTTAATGGCAAAAGGTAGGATGCTGTTATTAAAATAGAAAGTCAACAACAGTACCATAACAGGTATTAATAATGGTATTAAAAGTACAAAATTTACTAAAAGAACAAGTTTTTTTAAGCGGGAAAACTTTAAGTTATACTTCCCTACTTAGTTGAGTATTAAACCTTACAGTAAATAAGTGTTTTTCAAAATTATTTTAAAGTTAAAGTAATGATAATAATATATTAAACTGCTGATCTAAATAGCGATTGTTTCTCAGGTAAAAGTATGACTGAGACTGCTCTTTATTACTTTTTTGGGTGCTTTGCATCTTTAACAGCAAACAGATCCTTGTGCAATGGTTGCTAAAAGATAATAACATGTTCACTTCTTCAGTCTTTGTGCAGAAAATTTAACAGGAATCAGTAGAGCGAAAAAAATTATTTTAATACCAGTAGTAGAGGGATGGAAAGTGAAATCGGGGATATTCCTAGTCCGAATAAGCTAAAGAACTGTTGTAATGGTATAACAAGCACATTTTTACTGTATAATCTAACCTGAGTAATATCATTATGATTGATTATTAATCAAAAATATACTGTCTTTGTAGTCAGCTTCAATGAATTTTACTGGCTTTTTATTACACATCCAGCACTCCCTATTTACAAAGTGCAGTCCGCTGAAAACTTTCTTTTATACAGTTGTATTCATGGAATACCTGATCTGCAGTGTTGCAGTTTTTCTGTGAATGAAAATGTTTTTAGATTCAGTACCTTCAAAAAATTGTCTCACGTATGCTCTTGATTATATATTTGCACCTGGTATTTAGAGTTTCTGTTTTTAAACGAAGGTTTTTAAGTAAAAAAAGAAAAATGGACGAAATCCGGCTGGATATTTAATGAGGAATTTGAAAGATGCAAAATTTATGCAAGTAAATTGGTGGAGAGTAAGAATCCTCAGAAGTCGCAGTGATGGTTGATATGATATCTGATGGAATTCCCACTCACTTGACGAATTTCGCTGTAGATGTTAAATTTCGCTGTATATTCAAATTAATTTATTAGGATTTATTAGGATGCGGTTTCAGAAAAGAACCATGAGCTATCAACCGCTTCTCAAGAGCAGCCGTTAGACTGCCGTCTTCTGGTGTAAACGTGTACGCAGTCGTAACTCAGCAAACCAATGGAGATAGCTCAAATAGGTTTACTTTTTCATCTTCCAAATATGCATTAGTCTGAATCCAAAATTTGATTAGTTTTCTTCACAACGAGTTACTAGTTCTGCTTTAATTTTATGGTAAGATAAGAATGGTGGTTGGTACGAGTGATAGGTATCGATCTGCAGTTTTTACGCTTTTTTTCAAAAAATTTTACCGTACTTTGTTGCTCTGCTTGGAGTCCGCTCACTTCTTTGTGTTTTTCTGTCGACCTTATGGTCTCTTCGTTCCGGTCGCAAAAAAGTAAGTTTCATTATTGTTGAGCTTTGGCACTGGACTTTCAGCCATTCACTGTCTATTAGAATAAAATATTAACTTTTGATCCCCTATATTGCACCTAATATTTTTCTCAAAACTTGCTTTTTCCAATGTTCTCCTAAATTACCACCGACAATTGCTAAAAAATTTATATGCATAAAAGTTTGACAGTCATCCGGTGAAATTTCAGTAGGTAACGTCAAGTGGATACTGTGCATCCTGGAAGTAAGTCTGTAAAAAATTAATAAGCCTTAAGCTTTTTTGCGATCTTATTTAAATATCGATTACAATTTTTATTGTTTTTATCACAGTTTCTAGCACCGTAGCAGGACGACTTTAATTCCATTTCCGGTTCAGTGGTGTCGAATACACTGTCGCATAAAAGTGCAATTACCGGATGGTGAAACAGCCCAACCAAAATTATAAAACAGTATTGATGATACCTACTTTTCGGTTATTTTTTTAAATGCGCTTAATTCATATGAGAAACAAAGTGGCAGCTCAGCATCCCTTATTTCATTGGATTATGGAGTCAAACTTTAAAGAGGTTGACCACGATTTGAAGATGAATAGGTCAGGTAATTATCTGTTTATTTGGAGCAGAGTCTGCGAAAATCGCAATATGCTACAATCCACTTCAGAAAATAGCATCCAAATACAATTTATGAAATGAAATAATTTTTTGAAAAGTTTCGACAGAAGAAAAAAGTAAGATTAATTGAGAAGCCGTAAATTGTTTAGACTGTATCCTTTTAAAAAGTCCCTTACTTTTTATTCTTATTTTTTGTCAAAAAAAGTATCAAACTTTCTTGTACACATCGTTTCCAGGAACAGTTATGCGGCAAAAAAGAATTCAGTTTATCTTGTTACTTCTCGTTCATTCCCCGCAGTAGTGTCGGGCGCGATAACCAGAAAAAAAACCCACTTTTTTTTGGGTAGTGTTCATGATCAGCGGAAATTCACAGTTTTCCTAACAAAATATATCATTTATTAGGCTTTTATGTTGTTCGTCCAAGCATTTAATGAAATCCTATTGCCATTTGTAGCTACTGCATCAAATTCACTCAGCTACATTTTCCTCAGCTGACTTTTCTAGTGTTACTGCAAAAGTTTTCCCGATAATACCAGAAGCTTTTCTGACTAAAACAAGATTTTTATGAGGCACGGAACTGCCTCTGACTAATAAAATCTCATTATTAAAAAAAATTTCTTTACCCAACAGATATAAAAATGAATGTAGGAAGTAAAAAATTAATGGACTGCGGCCTAGCCTCTTTAAAATAGTCAAATAAAAAAGTTTTTGAAGCTTTTCTCAAATTGCTTCACATTTAATCACATCGTTTCCCACTCCTCTGCCAAATTTTAAAGTTTTTGTAACTTCCTGAACTCTTTACCATTAAATCTCGTGATACTCAGATGTTAAACGATCTTAAAGCTCTTTTTTTTATTTTTCATTCTTATATTTTAATGAGATATTAAAGGATCGCAAGATAAATCTAACCGAACAAAATAATTGTGCAAAAGCAGCGTAAAATTTAACCTTACTTACAAACTTTTAGGGTTACATAGGCTTGTCTGGCTCAGTAATAATTACCGTTACATCTTATAGAAACGTGCAACAGATCAAGAGATACATTTTCAATGTGCTTTTCCAATTTTCTGATAAATTTTTAAATGATGCTGATCAGCTTCAGAACCAGATTTCATAACCATGATAGTATTCAAAACAATTTATGACATCTTCGTGAGTTCTGAAGCAAAATTTTTGGTTGAACTATTAAGTTACAGCTTGGTTAACGACTGCCTAGCCATTCAAGCAAGTCCTCGTTTGTAGACTTAAAGGTTGAATAATCAATAGCGAACAATTGGAGGTGAACGGCTAAAGTATGAGGAATTAAAATGCCTTCTTTGTTAGAGTTTGTTCGAAAAAAATATAATATTGAGAATTAGTTGTTCAGTACCGAAATAGTCAGAGGGGACGGCTGAACTTTGAAATACAGCAAGTAAAAAGTTGTTTAACAGTTAGAAAGTGGTTTGCTTACCATTTCATTCCCTGCTATCGCTGACCGCTAATGCTTGACCAAAAAAAAATAAAAGTGGAAAGATAGTTTGCCAAGAAAGATGAGCTGGTTGTGGTAGTTTGGATCACATAAGTTGGTAAACAGAATTTGCATGTAAGTGAAAACGCATTATTCTGGTGATTGAAGCTTCGTTAAAGAAAATATTTAAATAGAACAGTACTTCACACTCAAAGTAATTAACAGTTGAATCTATGACAACAAACAACTACAGTTCATCACAAACAACGATCATTTGGACCTAACTTGTTGAACAATTTGAAAGCAAGGGGAAAATGAGCCAACGTCTAAGCCAAAAACACGAAGCTACGATGCTCATTTTTTCGTACTACTAAATGGTGTCACAGTTCGGTTTGTTCAGAACGTTCCCAAACTGGCGCCTATCTACAGCTGATTGCCACTGTTACTATCTAGCACATCTAATCTAAGCGTACGTATTCAGTGTCTCCCGGTTCTTTTCTTCTCTTCGTTCGTCACAAAAGCCGAGCATTGAAGAATGCTACATGCGATAGGACAATCAATAATAATTACAAGTTATCCATTCATGTTCACGGCACTGCTCCTTCTTATGTCTCTTATAAAACTTCACATGCTCGTTTGCGGCACTGTCCATGCTTACAGCTGGTTCTTCCTCTTTCAAGTTTAGCTGTAATCGAACCTTTGTCATATCCCAGCGTAACAGTGTTGAAACCTCGCATTGCTTGAATACGCTACATTTTTCCGAGCTCATAATTCAAATTTAATCCCAACCAGAGGTAAAAAATTCATTGTATTGAAGAATTCATTGCTACTGTCTATAGTGCCTAACCTACTTGTAAGTGCTAGCATGCCAAATGCGGACTGTAGAATCTTCCAAACCAATGATAATAACTTGTAAATCTGGATGGAAACAAACGGCAGACACATTTTGGGCATGTCCGTCTAAAGTTGCAATACAAGTTTTATTCTAGCATTTCCATACCTTGAAAAGCTGATCGTCAGCTCTAGAAGTTAAGTACGGCTTGTCTCCTCAGCTGTAATAGTCTTTGCAGTTAACTCCTTCCTCGTGACTTCCTAAAGTGAAATTCATACGAAAGCTATGGTGAAAAAAGTTAAAAGTGCTGACGAAATGTTATTATTAGGCCTGCATTATCAGGTCCCCCTTTCTCTTTTTTACCCAACAAAATTCGGAATAACGTAACCTTCAGGAAAACCACCTGTTGAAAACCACAAAAAAACCCACCTTATTTAAAATCTGACTGTTCATTATAGCCGTTTGCTGTGAGATTAGGAGGTTCAAAGTCCAAAATAATTAGCAGATGTTGATCAAAATGTCTATCAAAATTTGAAAAGACTGTTGTTGGCAAATATTTTGTTTTAGGGCAGATGTAGACAATTGAAGAGCTAAATTCGTATGGATTGCAGGTAGCAGATAACTGCATGTTTCATAAGCGTTTAAACCTCAAGCTTTTTGCTTTTCCATACAAAACATTCTTTCAAGTGGCAGGGGTTGAGGGCTTTTTTCTCTGTAAAATACAGACAGCCTTCAGTGTACATTGACTTTGGTTGTGAATCATCTCTTAGCTTGAAATCAGCTTGACGGAAATCCTCATCGTCATTTGATGACAGTGTATTCTTTACCATGACTTTTATCCTAACGAAATAAAAAAAGTACTGGTTAGCAGTAATCGAAACAGTATTTTTTATTGGTACAAAAATCAGTTAAAATTTGTTTTACATTTAATAAAAACAGTCGCTTTTTCAAGACCGATCTCAAGAGTCTACGCTTTCGTCACCATCTTCAATGAGTTTCAGGTTAAAACCTCCAGTATCAGTAGCCGTTCATGTGCTCCGCTTATAAGCTTTATTTTCTTACAAGTGATGAAACTGCTTTTGAGGCTAAAAAATGAAATATTTCCAAGATACTGTGACCGTAGCTGTAATGCTATAAAGAATTTTTTTTTGAATCTCTGATTTCAGATGTAATTACAGTTACTCTACTGCTATATTTACTATTAAAAATTGGTTACGGGGAAAAGAAGGTTAAATTTTTGCCAGAATTTTTTGAGACATCTTGAAAGCTCAAATAAAATAGGTAGAATACAAAATTTTTTCTCCAAGTGCCATGCCTTACTTTACACATAGCAGAAAAAAATCCCACCATCTACTTGGTGCTCTTGACTGTAGTGCAGACAGCAAAAAAAAGCAAACTTTAAAAATCCGTATTTTTTACATAGATAAATATTTAAACGTTACAAGCAAGCATAAATTAAAAATAAAAACGACAGAAAAATGAAGACCAAAGTAAGTAAACATTCGTTAAATACAGGTTACCGGACATATTTAAGAGTCCAGTAAGCAGTGATTAACACAACAGTTGGTTCATGACTCGTATATGCATCTATAATATGGTTCCACAGAGGAAGACGAAGCTAGTTTCTGTAAATAATTTTTGTTATTTAATTTAAGTAAAAATTATTCAGTTGCGTTATTGAGTAATAGACTTGAGTGCACTGTTAATTACATACCAAACTTGACCCAGGAAGATATTCTAAAGCAAATTCAATAACAAAAGCGTGGCAAAATCACTACGGGGAAGTGGCGAATAAATAACATAGGTCAATTTTTATTTATTCCAACGCAGCAAACACACTTCTTCAGTGGAAAAGAGGAGAAGGATCAGAGCATATATCAAAGATATTTAAGCTTCTGCTACTACTGAACAAATTTTCACGGACATAAACAGCAGATTCCTGGATAAGATGAAAAAGATGATTGATTGATAACGGCGATGCTTCTGTTACTGTTATAAAATTTTATTATCTAATTCCCACTTATCTAATCAGCTAGTTTTTATCCTTATGGTAAGACTCTCTCATAAAGCCTTCTTGCGTCGGAGCTGAACCGAATGTGCGTAATAGAGCACTTTTAGACGATGGCTTCCTGGGGTTTCAGCACTTTTGCAAGTTTTTACAGGCATTTGTTTTGAAATAACTCTTTTACCAAATGTTTTGTTTTGTTGAGTAACAAAGTGTAACTCTTATAAACTGTTATTTTACTGGGTTTTTTAATTACGGCTTTTTCAGTAATCCTATTAGACCTTTATATTTCTGTTTATAGGTTATATCTCACCGGTTCATTATTGTACTATCTTTCGTGAATCACAATTGCCGTCTTTTATTGAAAATTCTGCCAATCAGTATTCGTAACATTCGTCTACAAATTGTCCATTACTTTTAAGCGCTGAAAATACCCTTTTTTTTTTTTTTGCCTAACGCTACATAGACAATGGGCTAATGTTGACTACTGCCCAATAGAGCAATCCGTAGTTGAAGCAATAAAAACTTGTACTCCAAATACCCCAACGGTCAAAATAACTTTTGCTGATCAAAACTGATAGATGTTATCAGCATTTTGCCAACTAAAACATCTGTTCACTGACCATTGTTTACCGTTTGACTACACTTATCTGTATAGAGCACCAAAAATTTGATCAGAACAAACTACTTCTGGTTCAGTGCAACTTATTTTCTTATCCTCCCGTCTTCTTTAGCAAAAAGAAAAGAAAAAAAAAAAAGTTGAATTTGACCAAGGTATTTCAGAATTGATCTTAGATGAACAGTTTTCTGAGTTTCTAAAATTTTGAATAGCAGATTTAAAATTCATGATCCCTAGTTTGGTCTTAAACGGAAATCTTAGTGCCATACACAGAGCAGACATAGACACATACATACAACGGCACATAACACCAAATAACGATAACACTCTATTAGACTTCATCGGCTAAAATCTTTCTTTTTTTTTTTTTTTTTTTTTAACGGCACTAGTTGCTTTTTCGTCGTCATTGTCATCATCGTCATCATCAACATCATTAATTCTGTATTTGTGGTATAGCAACTGAAAAAAAAAAAAAAAAAAAA